CGTCGCACATTGGGGGGGCAATGCCAGCTAGCTTGTAGAGTTTATCAACAGGTGTAGGTTTAATAAAAAAATAAAATATAATAAAACAAATAATAAACAAATGATAATCAGATTTTTCTAAAAAAAAAGCAACCGACACAAATTTTGAACACATCAGTTCAAAAAATTATAAATATATATTAATTATTATTGAAATATAATTCTTAACACTATATATATATAACTCAGCTGAATAAAGGCACCTTACTTGGGGCAAAATGTTAATAGTCTATTATATGTTACATGCTTTAATGAACAATTTCTGTAAAACATGGTCTATAAATAAACACATCAATAAAATATTTAAAACCTTAAAAATTGAATCCACAAAGTGGAAAGTGGCTGGTATATAGATTAAAAAGGAGATAGAAAAGGAGTTGGTATTGCAATTATACAACAATGACAAACTGATTACAGATAGTAGTCAGATTTTAATTGCATTGCATAGGTATTTTTCAGACTTATTTAAGATGAGGCAAAATTAGAAGTTAAGACTCATAAGCAAGAGAGGGGTGCTTAATCCAAGAATTATCCCAAAGTGTAGTTTAAAAGGAACACTTAGCTATGGAAATATGTGGTGTCACTAGGTTATGCATCACCCAGTGTATGAAGTCATGCCACATGCAACTGATTATGTTGATAAGGAGAAGATGTGGTTATGGCTCATGAATGAAACACTGAAGAAGGAGACAGAAGACCTGATTTTTGCAGCCAATGAGCAAGGAGCATCAGAACCAATGCCATTAAGGCCAGGATTGAAATATCAGCTAATGACCCAAAATGCAGACTGTGCAAGGAAGCTGGTGAAACCATGGATCATATCCTCAGCTATTGCAAGAAAATTGTACAGACGGACTACAAACAAAGGCACAACTCTGTGGCTCAAATGATTCACTGGAACTTATGTAACAAGTACTACCTACTAGCAGTAAAGAATTGGTGGCATCATAAACCTGCAAAAGTAGTGGAAAATGAACACGCAAAAATACTGTGGGACTTTCGAATCCAGACTGACAAAGATTTGGAACACAATACACCAGACATCACGATTGTGGAAAATAAAGAAGTTTGGGTTATTGATGTCACCATACCAGGTGACAGTCACATTGAGGAAAAACAACAGGAAAAACTCAGCTCTTATCAGGACCTCAAAATCGAACTGCAAAGGCCCTGGCATAAACCAGTACAGGTGGTCCCAGTGGTCATCAGCACACTGGGTGCCATGCCAATAGATGTCAGCTGCCATTTGGAAACAATAAACATCGACAAAATCACGATCTGTCAACTGCAAAAGGCCACCTTACTTGGATCTGCACGCATCATTCCAAAATACATCACACAGTCCTAGATGCTTGGGAAGTGTTCGACTTGTGATTTTGTGATACGAAATCCAGCATACAGATCTCATTTGCTGTGACATAATGTGGTTTTGTGTCAGAATAATAATAATAATAATAATAATTCTGCTGACATGCTGCATGTGAAGAGGGGATGCTTTCAAACACAATCACCCATCCCAAACCTCCCTCCACTCATGTCTTAGGCAACAAGGAGAATGGAGAAAGTTAGTAAGCAGACATTTCCATTGTGATCAGGCATGTAGCTGGGGGGAGGGGTGTTGAGGGGCTTCAGCCCCCCCCCCCCCAAATTCTCATGGTGGTCCGCGAGAAGGCCTTACTGGTACATTATTTAAACTGTTATGTTTATTCATATCATGATCTGATCACCATGCTCAATATATCTCATATGCATGGGGGTATTGGGGTAACAATACAAAAGGTTTGCTAGGGTAGACCCTCTTTCACTCAGACTCAGCCCCCCCCCCCATCAAACTTAGCACACACACACACATCAAACTCAGCCCCCCCCCCCCCCCGAATCAAAATCCTGGCTACAGGCCTGATTGTGATAGTCTTGAGGAGGTAGAAGAAAAGATCAACCTTCTACTCATGAATGTAATGTCTCCTGCAGGTAATACCTGCCTACCAAGGCCTTGTTCAACCACGTATATGAGGAGGAAGAGGCATGGCAGTAAGGCAGGAAGCCCAGCTCCCTCAACCTATTCTTGGCAGGGCCTGACTTGGCTTAACAGAAGCCAAGCACACACATTTCTCATTACAGCAGGTGGTCCCTCATCATCAAAAGGTGAAGAATCATCTTGCTATCACCATCTGTGATTGTTTCCTCAGTGTGGACTGTACTCACTGCACCACTGATGGAAATGGAAAAAATAAAGAATTTTCTTCCCAGTGCAGACAGCTTAAGATGGATATGAATGGAGGCATCATTCAGCAGTACAATTAAACTGGCAGAGAAAACATCCTAAACAGATTGGTCTAAGCTGGCTTTCTGAATAGATAGATATACATTCTGACTTAAATACAGATATTTTGTAGTAACATGCTGCAAAACAGAAGCCCAAATAAGCCAATTTGCCACATCTAGCCAATTTAATGGATATTTCAACACTGGTGTGTTAAATGATACTATTCAAGCATGTGGCATATTATTAGTCTTACAGATTGATACTCTTGCTTATTAGCCACTCAGCTGCACACCAACCAAGTAATTCAAATCTAATAATGCCTGTAAAAATTTCCATTAATAATACAGCCGGTTATTAAAGCACTATATTATGACCACGTACAACAGTAATTGATTTCTTAAATTGGTGTAGCATTATTGTGCTTGGTTACCCTAGCATCAATGTGCTTCAGTTAAAAACTTACAGGTTTTGGCCAGTGTAAAGTACAAACCAGGTGTATTTTAAATGTTCAAACTATACACAAGAACTCTAGAACCTAAGGGATGGAAATTAATCATATAATAAAGACATTTTCTGGAATTAACACAATCACTAGTTGGCATTCCTTTAAAATGCATGGGAGATATAATGTTTAATGACATTTCTATTCAAAATCCTAAGTGTACGTAATCCATGGCTATGGTAGTCCATGTCTTAGTCAAATTCCGTTCGGATTCCTGCAATGCTCTCTGCATGGGGTGGTCTTTGAAGATAGTTCAGAAGCTTCAATTAGTTCAGAGATTGACAGCCAGGTTGCTAACTGGAGTGCCATACAGGGAGCAAACAACTCCCATGTTACAGGAGCTCCACTAGCAGCTGGTCTGCACCCGAGCTCAATATAAGTGCTGGTCATTACCTACAAAGCCCTAAACGGTTGGGGTCCAGGCTATTTAGCTAACCACATCTGCACATATAAAACAACACGGGCATTGCAGTCAACAGAGGAGGCCCTGCTCTCGGTCCCACCGTCTCTCAAGCATAGTTGGTGGGAACGAAAGCAGGAGTCTTCTCCATGATCACTCTCTCCCTCTGGAACTCCCTCCCTATGGAACTGAGAACAGCCCCATCACTCCTTTCTTCAAGAAGCAATTAAAACATTCTTTTGCACATTGGTTTTTTATGAGGAAGATGATTATCTTCCTATGCCTTTTATCTTGATTGACGATGCTGACAATGACTATATTACCATACCTTATTGGAGAACCATGTTTTATCTATATATCTATAAAACTATATTTTTTCTATACAGATTTTATCAGCTTGTTGTGTGATTTATGAGGTTGGTTGACCACATGTTGTAGCCTAAGCTAATTTATCTGGTTCATTTTAACTATTCGTTTTTAACTTTTTTCTTGTTTTTGTCTTATTGTTATCTTTGTCATAGCGCACAGTATTGAATGTTTGTTATCTTTGTTTTTGGAAGCTGCTCTGAGCCCCTTCATTGGAGAGAGGGTGGGTTAAAAATAAAGTTTTATATTATTTTAGATTATTATTATTATTATTATTATTATTATTATTATATAATCCTTATTAGACTGCCAACTAAGACTATGTCAGCTCCTCTGGCTGCCGATCCAATTCCGAGCACAATTCAAAGTGCTGGTCTTGACCTATAAAACCCTATACCAGCGTACCTGTCCATTCGTATCTCCTTCTACAGCCCACCTAGGAGCTTAAGATCTTCTGGGGAGGCCCTACTCTCAGCCCTGCCTCTGTCACAAACATGCTTGGTGGGGATGAGGGACCAGGCCTTCTCGGTGGTGGCCCCCCACCTGTGGAATTCACTTCCTGGGGAAATTAAACTGTCTTCATCCCTCCTCACCTTTAGAAAGAAGTTAAAGATATGGATGTGGGACCAGGCCTTTGGGTAACTATGCGGACTACAACATTGACAATGATGACAATTGCTATGGTAATGGACTATGGACAAGCTTGATGAGTCTCCAACTACAGAATTCGGCTAGATAACAGCCCCCAGACTGGTATATTTTAGTAGATTTAAATTGTATTGACTTAATGTTTTTAACTATATATAATTATTGCTTCTGTTCTGTATTTTATTATGTATACATGGAGGCATCAAATTGTTGCCGCCTGGAAGCCGCCCTGAGTCCCCCCTAGGGGGTTGAGAAAGGTGGGATAAAAATATTCAAAACAAACAAACAAATATCACCTTTATCAATTTTAAGTAAGTAAAATGAGCAATTTCTTAAAATATTCTTGTGCTGAACTATCTTGCAAAGTTCTCTATCTGAGGAGTATAAATGCATACTCCCAGGATTCTATCATATGTCGTATAATTCTGCATTTAAAGGGTTTTTAGACTGCTATAAATGTCGAGTTTAAATACACTCTGCATCCTAAAAAGTATCACTGGCTTTGTGCTTCTTAAGTACCAAGCAGTACATCTCTCCACCATGCTGTCAATTCAATACTATTGTCATAGCAATCATCAAAGGGAAATATACCAGTTGTTGTACAACATGTCATTAAATTAATCATACAGTATGAGTCACTTTTTTTAAGGATTGCCTTTCTCCGATATGGAAATTTGTTTATAAACTGACAGTTCAAGAAAAGAATCCTTACATCCCCCATGGATTTTATTACTTAGCAATGTATAAATGCATGGAAATGAGAATTCAGTTGAAATTACCTTAATAACCAAATCAAATTTCTGGTGCAAATCTCTGTTTATTGGCTTTAGAAGGCAGAGTACCGCAGTCGTAACATTCATACTGAAATACTGCGAATAATCCTCAGGAGCCCCTGCAAAAAAAGAGAGTGAGGTTTGAACATATAATTGAGATGAAGGATCAGTATGACTCATAAATTTCAAATGTTTTCATGACATTTGCTAATAAATTCAAGTATTTTACTGGTTTTTAACAAATCCCAACAATTAATTAGTATGTATACCTCATATATCTGCATACAAGTAAAGTTTCTTTATTTCTGTATAGTGATCATTTCAGTAAGTGTGGGATTTCTCATGAGTGTTTCCCTGTCCATAAGAGACAAGTGGAAATATTAGGGTAAACTTGTACTGTGTCATACAAAGTCAGACCATTGATTGTACCAATCTTCTCCTCCCTGGCTTTCTCCAGTTCAGTTGAATTTACAAGTCCTATCATCCTTACTCAGCATGGCAAATGACAACATGGTTGTAGCCCAGTGTTTCTCAACCTGCGGGTCGGGACCCCTGGGAGGGTGTTGGAGGAGTCGCCAAAGACGATCAGGATACACAGTATTTTCTGCTGGTCATGGGAGTTCTGTGTGGGAAGTCTGGCCCAATTCTATCATTGGCGGGGTTCAGAATGCTCTCGGATTGTAGGTGAACTATAAATCCCAGCAATTACAACTCCCAAATGTCAAGGTCTATTTTCCCCAAACTGCCAACAGTGTTCGCATTTGGGCATATTGAGTATTCGTGCCAGGTTTAGTCCAGATCTATCATTGCTTGAGTCTACAGTGCTTTCTGGAGATAGGTGAACTACAACTCCCAAACTCAAGGCCAATGCTCACTTAACCCTTTCATTATTTTGTGCTGGTCATGGGCGTTCTGTGTGCCAAGTTTGGGTCAATTCCATCTCTGGTGGAGTTCAGAATGTTCTTTGATTGTAGGTGAACTATAAATTCCAGCAACTACAACTCCCAAGGTCCAGAGAATGAAAATACATCCTGCCTATTAGATATTTACATGACGATTCATAACAGTAGCAAAATTCCAGTTATGAAGTAGCAACGAAAATAATTTTAGGGTCGGGGGTCATCACAACATGAGGAACTATATAAAGGGGTCACGGCAGTAGGAAGGTTGGGAACCACTGAAGTGTGTTGTAGCCTAGGTGTGTTGTAGCCTAACACACCTAAAGAGAGCTGGGCTGGGACAGCTGGTTAAAATTAATTCGTAATAATTATCCGGGTTTTCAGAGAGCCATCTTTTCAGCCTTACCTGGGGTTGTTGTTGTGTTGTGTTTTTTTTTTTGCAATTTTATATAATGTGTTATACATGTGACTATTTTAGCATTTTAACTGGTTATTATAATCTCTACGGTGAAACTAGTCACTAGAAAAGTTGCTAAATAAGCAAACAAACATAAAGTCAAAGGAGACTGACCATACAAACCATACTACTGAGCTACAGCGCCCTTGTGCTGAAAGCATTCAATGTTCCAGAAATATCTCAGTAACTACAGTCAAGTTGGATACATTAAAATGTGCATGATATTTCCAGTATCTGGAAAATTGTACACGTGATGTATAGAAAAGCACTGTTTTTTTTCTCCATATATAGATGACACCTATTTCAAACGTAATAAATAAAAATGAAACCAGATCAAAACCTTCACACAATCTCATTCCTTTCCGGCAGGAAACATATTTTGAGGACTATTTCCTTACAAGCTATACTTTTCAGCTCCACAGACCATTCTGTCCAATGCAGCAGCATTTACCAGTTTTCACAGTTATACCCCCTGATGTGCATTGAGATTACCTATGTTCACAGCATGGATGTCTCCTTCCACTACAAGAAGCAATTAAAGAAGATGTTGCCATTTTCATTCGTCAAAGATTCACCCCATTGGCTACAATGGGAAATTTTAAAGGCTCAATTCTCAGTCATTTTAAGACCTATTTGCATGAAACCCATCTCAGTTTTAGATCCCATTTATAACTACAGGCCTGTCAAGTTTCAAAACAATTCATTGATCTACTAATTTTTAAGAATTATTTTAAGTTTTAACCATAACATTTTTAAAATAAAACAAACCGTAAGAGAGGGTTCTGGGAATTGTAGACACCAGTTGTGTCAATTCTCAGCCAGAGCATGGACACAATCAGATTTTTATTGGCTGAGAAACAGAGAGAGAGAAAAACCTCAACTCCCACCATGYTCCAAGAGGAACTTTTCAATGCCCACCCTATGCATGGTCTACTGAAAAAGCAAGTTACCAGCAGGGCTCTCGCTGAAGGAGGACCCTAAAAAAAGTCCCGTTCCCCCCCCCCCCCCAAAAAAAATGGAAGGATGCTGCTGCTGCTGCCGGAGAGGGAGAAAAAGATGCTGGCTTGTAATAACCCCATCTTTTCCAGGARCCCTGCTAGACCTCAGCCTCAGGTATATTGCATTTAACTCTATCCTCTACAGTAACCAATAAAATCTGTCTCTCTCAATCCGTTTTCCCGAGCTTTTCAGTACCCTCCTACCAGGTCTGTTTTCAGAGATTATATTAAATGGACCACTTCATATTACAAATATTTTTGTTCAAACTAATTTGGGCTCAAGTCTAATAGCTACCACAAAATCCATGGTAAACTCACTCTAATCCTGGCTGCATCTACACTACAGAATTAATGCAGTTTGACACCACTTTAATTGTTATTGTTCAGTACTATGGAATCATTTATTTATTTATTTATCGTGTCATCTGCAACCAGAACATTGTATTACATTTCTAACAGAACAAAACAAACAAACAGATAAGAAAAACACAAATTTTGCAAACTTGGTAGCTGATTAAATGTCCTTTGACCAGTATCTGGCCACTTGGAGTGCTTCTGGTGTTGCCGCAAGAAGGTCCTCCATCGTGCATGTGGCAGGGCTCAGGTTACATTGCAGCAGGTGGTCTGTGGTTTGCTCTTCTCCACACTCGCATGTCGTGGATTCAACTTTGTAGCCCCATTTCTTAAGATTGGCTCTGCATCTCGTGGTGCCAGAGCGCAGTCTGTTCAGCGCCTTCCAAGTCGCCCAGTCTTCTGTGTGCCCAGGGGGGAGTCTCTCATCTAGTATCACCCACAGATTGAGGTGCTGGGTTTGGGCCTGCCACTTTTGAACTCTCGCTTGCTGAGGTGTTCCAGCGAGTGTCTCTGTAGATCTAAGAAAACTATTTCTTGATTTAAGTCGTTGACGTGCTGGCTGATACCCAAACAAGGGATGAGCTGGAGATGTCACTGCCTTGGTCCTTTCACTATTGGCTGCAACTTCCCGGCGGATGTCAGGTGGTGCAATACCGGCTAAGCAGTGTAATTTCTCCAGTGGTGTAGGGCGCAGACACCCTGTGATAATGCGGCATGTCTCATTAAGAGCCACATCCACTGTTTTAGTGTGGTGAGAAGTGTTCCACACTGGGCATGGAATCATTGTAGTTGTAGTACTATAAGGTTTATATCTGGTAAAGAGTGCTAGTGCTTATCCTCACAATTTTGTCCAGACAAAACCCATGTTTGAAATCGTATAATCCATTTTGCACAATTGAGACTTGTGCGCCAACTGCGACCGTACCTCGTGAAGGCTGATCTGGCCAGGGTTGTCCATGCCTTGGTCACCTCCAGATTGGGCTACTGTAATGCGCTCTACGTGGGGCTGCCCTTGAAAACGGCCCAGAAATTCCAACTAGTCCAACGGGCGGTGGCCAGGTTGTTAACTGCTCCTTACAGAGAGAGGTCAACCCTCCTGTTTAAGGAGCTCCATTGGCTGCCGTTCATTTTCCGGTCCCAATTCAAGGTGCAGGTGCTTACCTACAAAGCCCTAAACGGTTTGGGACCCGCCTACCTGCGTGACCGCATCTCCGTATATGAACCCACACGATCTCTCCAATCATCTGGAGAGGCCCTGCTCACGATCCCACCTGCGTCGCAAGCGCGATTGGTGGGGACGAGGGACAGGGCCTTCTCTGTGGTGTCCCCAACTCTGGAACTCTCTCCCCAAGGACATCAGACAAGCCCCAACATTGGCAGTCTTTAGGAAGAGCTTGAAGACGTGGCTGTTCCAATGTGCCTTCCCAGAATAGGAAACTTCTAGCATCATGTCCCAAATGCACTTTATTAGAGATTTAAGCCTGCACACCGCACCTATCTCCAAAAACCTATCCATCTCACCTGTCATGCTCAGCATTTTTAAAATTTTAATCATTACATTTGGCCCGGCCTTAGTTTTAAATGCGTCGTGGTGTTATTGTCTAATGTTTATTGCTATTGTTTTAATGTTTATTGCTTGTTTTATGAGTTTATTTATTGTTGTATTTGTTATGCTGTTGTTTTATTGATGTGTTGGGCCTCGGCCTCTTGTAAGCCGCACCGAGTCCTTCGGGAGATGTTAGCGGGGTATAAATAAAGGTTTATTATTATTATTATTATTATTATGGTCAAAGGACACTTAATCCACTACCAAGCTTGCAAACTTTGTGTTTTGTCTGTTTGTTTGTTTTGTTAAAAATGTAATACAAATGTCTGGTTGCTCCTGGCACGATAAATAAATAAGATTTGGGTTCATGCTTCCCAAAGAATGGAGAGAATGAGGAATATGCACAAAAACAACCAAAGCTACCTTGAAATGTTCCTTGTAACATTGAACACAAGAAAATATAAAAATTGTACAAACTATACAAAAAAGTCCAAGTTAAAGGGTTTCTTTAAAATGAAAATTACTCTATACAAAAAAGTATAAGTTATGGCAAAAAAACCCATAATTTACAGCTTGAAGTGAAGCAAAGTCAACACAGAATGGAGTGAGAATAAGATTGAGATAGCATGGGCACACTATCTTAAAAAAAACCCCTATCTAAAAAAAGATTGAGCTGAAACCTTGAATTAGGGAATATAAAGGTGACATTTTAAAAGTAGAAACCAGTACTGTAGGATCTAAAGCTTGCGGTATGATTCAGCTCGGTTATGACTCTATAGGACACTTGCCACTCGTCTGTCTCCCAATTCAATCTTTTCTCTTTTTATCACTACTGCAGTAAGTAGAGATGACTAACCAGGAAAAT